TTGCCATGCCGCCGTGCTCGAAGTCATCTTCGCTGTACCTGTTGACTACTGCTATGTGCCTCTTGTAGGCGCGAACTAGAATCCCAGGTCGACGGCTAACAGACCGGCCATCCCCGCAATGACACCCGCAGCTATAGTGCTGCCCCGACGGGTATTGGCGCTATATGACGAGCCTGTGTCTGCACCTCGGGAGTTCGTCACGGTTGCTGTGGACGCCGTCCCCGTGCCCGTCACCGTGAAACCCGGAGGCACACCCGTCTTGAACGGACCGTCTGTTGCGGGGCCCGAAGCGGGCTGTGTGGCCGTTGCGCCACCATCTGATGACCCGCCAATAACCACAATCTGCTCGTCCCGGGCTGCGCACGAGTGTCCTGCGCGAGCGGGTGGCTCGTTGCTCGTTGTATCGATTTTGATCCACGTGAATGATCGGATCGTCAGGATCCATACGTCAGTATACTGCTTCTACGGGAATTCAGAGTTAGTAGCTGTCGTTTGTAGTAAGCAATACCTGATTAGGCACATTATGCTACCGAGACGCGTCACATGCGGGCGGGAGAGAGACCCCAGGGTGCTGACCTGTTCTCCTACCGGTAGCAGGTTCTGTCCACCGTACATATAAATGTTGAAGGAGTTTACGTCCAACGCCGAAAACACAACGGCGCAGGGATTGACGTGCACTTGGGGCTTCTCGTTGCCGGATCTCTCCTGGTGGTACCACTGACTGCTCGCGATATCGTACACGTCGATGGTAGTCATGGATGAGAAGGCGTCCGTTGTGTCGTTGTCGCCGACCACGCCACCCCCAAGACCCAGCAAAATCCCACCCAGGTCCCAGCCGGGCACGTACACAAGGACGCCGTCGGCACGTTCTGCGAACCTGATTTGATTGTGCTCTCCAGCCCGCGTAGTATTGTAGTATGTGCCGCTGTCTGGCGCGCCCGAGTTTTGGAGCCCGTTGACTTGTATGTTTGAGTAGCCAGGATGTGTGAATTCGAAGAGACTCTTTAGGTACACTCGAGGGATCTGGTTGGACCATCTCGGCAGTATCGCCCAGTCAACGTGGCCGCCAAAGTACCAACTCCGACCCAATTCTGGAACTGACACACCAGCTCCTTCCGCGGCACGATGTACGGATGCATGCCCTGGATCGGAATATTTGCCAGCAGACGTTTTACGGCCTCAAAATTCGGTCCAGGTCGACGACTCTATATCATACATCCACGTTGAGACAGGCAGTGGCTCGGGTGATGGAAAATCGAACCCCCCCCCTTACAGATACAGATGGTCAAATAATAAAACGTACCATTCAGTACAGCACCTGTTATTATTAACACCTACTTGACCCATAACCCGCCTATCCGACAATACTAACTTTGCCCAGCCCATCTCTTACACACACATGCCGAGCCATTTGCACGATCTTCTAGTGCAGATGTGACCATCGGTTCCCGAATTACACCCGCATCTGCACCGTTTATTTCAACCTTGTCACAGCCAGTATTATCGCCTCTGGCAGGTAGAATAACCGCGATTAGTAAGGCGATCGAGGTAAATCTGTGGATTCCCGCTATTGGAGCGGGAGGCGCAGTTGCAGCTGATTTGATCTTTTCGGTCGTTTTTCCGGTATCAACTTCGAGAGCCATCCAGGCTGTTCCCGCGTCGACTCCCCTCCACCAGCGTCTTTGCGCTCGGGTGCAGATTCCGACACTCGCCTTGTCGTCTCGCTAACCTGTTTCTCCTCAAAGCTCTGCCTCCTGACCGAATGCTCAGCGTTCTCCACATCATCGCCATCCAACCCCATTTCGCGGAACACCGACTTCCTCCCTTTGCAGATTTTACCGCTTCTCACAAAGCTCACGAATCTGGATCCCTCTGCTAGCCTGTCGGAAGTGATTTGGGAGTTGAAACGGGGGCGTTCGAATCTGGGACGCTGTTCGCCCGGATCTGAAGTGCTATGTCGAGCTTGAGTGGACGTCATGACGAGAAGGTGCGTTCACGTGTAATTGAGTTGTTGTCATTTAGTTTAGTGATGCAAAAGGTGGGAAAGGGTGGCATGAGACACATGAGGTCACAACTGGCTTTTAATAACCCTATACTTTGCAAGGCATGTAGATCATTGGCAGAGTCATCGACGATCACCGCCTAACCGTATTCTCCCAGCCAATTTATTGCGGTACTAATTGGGGACTTTATTCGAGAACTGGGCTATACACAAGCTATGGATCTCGATAATACCCCTAATTCTGCCCTTAACAGCTTTTTGCAACAGGGGCGTAAAGTAGACCCTACTCGACCACCCAGGTACATTATCGTACCATACCTACCTACCTAATCGGCGAGTCCTCATATTCACCGCTTTGCAGAGCACGTTGGACAATTAAATCTACCCCGGACTGTGGCAAGAGTAGCTCCTTTCCTTCGTCACCTAGTTCTGAACCGAAGTCGTTCATTGCCGTTTTAGGATCGCCTCTCCTAAATGTCATGGTTTGATTGGTTCCTATCCGTGCAGGGGCATCTTGGAAATGACGACACGATCCCTCGATCTAGTTTCACACCCGCAAACAGGAACAAACTAAGACCTTTCATTCGTAGGCGCTCGGGGCATAACATCCAGCCGATTATGCAACGCATCGGGAAGTAGAGAGCTGGCAGGCAAAGAAACAAACAAACCTTGGGCTAGCAGCCACGTCGTGCACTGCCTCCAATCCCTCATTACATGTAATACTAATTATGGTTTAGCACAAGATATCTGGATAGTTTTAGTACCTAGCTTGTGTATTAGGACTTGTTATTGCAATTGGTTGGACAGCAGACGTTGTGGATGGAATGGAGTAGGTAATTGACATGGAATCCACCCGCATTCACTCAGAAATCCGGAGAAATACCTAACTAAGGATAGTGCTAGAGCCTGGGATTTGCGTCAATGTATACAGGCAGGTAACAACACTCGGGATCAGAGCACCACTATATCACATTACTTCGTTCCGACCTTGCCTAAATAAATTGATATTGGTCTAATCTAAAGGGCTCGTTGAAGTCTAGATAAGTCATAACACGTCTCATCATCGGACGCTTAGCAAGTGACCAGGTTACATTGTATGTGGCGTCCACTCCTTTCTCCGCGCCCTAGTCTGTCCAATGCTAGCAAACCCGGTACTCAGGCTCCCCGGCCGTCACAAACCCGGCCACGTTGGCTGTACACGTGCGGCTATAATTATCAAAGCTTTCCTCCGAGTACCAGGCCACATGCGGCGTCGTCACTAAATTGAGGTCCGCCGTGTCCGCAGCAAGCAAGACGTTGCTAGCCGGTTCCGCCGGCTCCTGAGAGTACACATCGGTGCCGGCGCCCGCGATCTTGCCTTCCCTCAGCGCAGCGACGAGGGCCTTCTCGTCCACGATCCCACCCCGCGACACGTTGATCAGCAAGGCGTACGGCTTCATCAGGCTGAGTTCCGCCGAGGAGATGAGGTTAAGCGTCTCGGGCGAACGCGGGAGACACACGATCAAGACCGAGGACTCGCGGATGGCCGTTTCGAACGGGACGCGGCCCTCTGGCGCCGACGCGCCCTTGCGCCCGGCCACGAGGGTCTTCATACCCAGCACTTTGGCCGTCACCTCGACGTTCCTCCCGATTGCACCGTACCCGATGATCCCGAGGACCTCGTCGCGGCACGTGCACGGCGGCTTGTCGTCGGGGCCGTCCATAGTGCTCTGCTGCGAGCCCTTGGCCGCCCAGTCGCCTGCGCGCGTGAGCGAATGCGTCAGCATGATGGAGCGGCGCGTTGCGAAGTACAGCGCCAGCACGTGCTCCGTCACCGTGGTGACGTTGCAATGCGGCGTGTTGCCCACGACGATGCCTCGCGCTCGACACGCTGCGAGGTCCACGGTGTCTGTGCCTGAGGCGATCACAGATACCACTGCATGAGGTTCGCGGTCAGCAGGAGTTGTGGTCTACGTTAAACATCTCTTTCGAATGCTGTGTGGGTGGTGCGGAAGCCATTCAGCAGGTAGATAGGGCAGGTCTTCGTACTCTTCAGATGCGGAGTTGCCTCCGCACTCAGGACCTCGGCCGTCAACGGCAGGATCGTCAGAATCACGACATCGGCATCCCGGATCCTCTCCGCTATCTGGTCCGGTCTCGTTCGCTCGTAGTTCCGGAATTCGCAGGTGTGAGGTGCGGGAAGAGTGAAATTGGGTAGGGGACAGAAGAACGTCTCCAATGCGACGATGACCCAATGGGTTTGCGACGGGGTCATCGCGCTTGGTTGTCAGAGGTGCGACGGAAGACTTGGAGTATCAACGACTGTTGGCCTCTTCAGGTATGCTTGACAAGTTCTAGCTAGTGAGCTAGATTCGCTGAAATATATTCTCGTTCTGGGACCGAGCTTCGGCCATGTCGTGGAAGGGCGCATTCATGTTAGGGCCGAACGGAAGTCCCCGCATCGTCGATTTTCGATTCAATCTGATTATCCTTCGAGTTCATGAGCGGCACAATGACTGGCCTCACTTTAAGTAAGCGATGCGCTTTATAGCATCTTTTCTATACCGCATCTGTTACATTACGATCTTGCTCAATGCTGGGTGTATTAATTACCTACTGAGTATTCGCCGCTTCCTCGATGCGTACAGCAGCGGCGCGCTTCGCGCAGGTCTTGCCGCTTCTGAGATATCTCTCCTTGGGCTTGCTCTCTCGAGGTCACTATACATCTCGTGTTATGATTATATTCCTTCATGCGATTTAAAAAAGAATAATGACTTGGGTGTCTTTCTAGGTTGTTGTCCGGTGATTTTATAAAACATTAGGCTCAGTAGATATTACAAAAGTCCCGTATAACCGATGGAGAACCTTAGCCCTAACATGACCTGTCATATTGCAGAGAGTTGGGGAAACAAATGAGCTTGGTAATAGCTAAGAATAAGAAAAAAAAAAGGGCCTAACATTGTGCAGGACCAAAAAGATAAAGTCAGGACTTGCTGTTATTGTTTGTCCGACAGTTGGCCGACAACGACAGGACTCGAACCTGTGACCCCGAAGGGATATGATCTCTAGATGCATATAATGCTTAGATGCATTTCTAGTCATACGCTTTAACCACTCAGCCACGTTGCCTTTCTCTGATGAGTTGATTGATGATTGCTGTCGTGCAGAGTGGATTTATGTATGGTTTGCTTTGCAGTAGTGTGGCAAAATGATGAATGTGCAGATGTGATTGGTGCGAATGCTGAGATACCGCTAAGATACCGCTACCTAGCCTATGCGCGGCTCCACTCCGGGGCATGGGTGTGTGGCTATGCCACGTCCCTGGGGCTGGTGGCCTAAGCCACAACCAGACCCCCTATTCCGTTCCTACTACCTTACCTATAGAAGTCGGGAGGTAGTCTGCTCATCACAGGTATGCTGTTATTGAATTAGGTGGAGAATTGCCCCTTGTTAGGTAGGTCAGATTCTTATACACTGTCCCCGTACCTTTCCTACAATAGCTAGAGCGACTTCATATATAAACATTTTTTTGCAATATGGAACACTCGGTACGAAGGTCTCTGCCGACCGCCCTCCGTCCCAGCCGCCGCTGTTCGGTTTTGCCCAGAGCACCGTCGAACTCTCGGAACACCCTACTCGCCCGTCCTGCTCCGGACGATACCGTCTCTGCTTCGTCCATACCCCATCCCCCTTCTTCAACGCCCTGGGCCTACCGATCTGTTCTGGAGTTGTGCTGCTAAAAGCCTATGCCAACAACTAACAATAGGTTCCGAAACTATACAGCAATCCTTCTTTGCCTTACGTTTGTTTGATAGGCGTAAGAGGTTTGTTTTTTCCTGCAGTCATCTTCCCACCTGCAAGTCGGTCGGCGTCTTGCAATGGCAACACGATGTCGCTGTAAACAGCTTGGCGGAAGTCATCGTTGTCCAAAGACAAGCTGCTGGCATTGAGATCACATTTGATGCAGTGCTCCACGACCTTCTTGAATTCAGGGGAGCCAATCCACTCGATTCGTTTTAGTATCCCTTCGATCCTAGCAAAGCCTTTGGCAGTCGTATAGTCGAATATGTCTTCGAGCGGGACATCGCTCAAGTCAACCCCTTCGTCATTCCAAAACTCGTATACTGGCTTCCACAGCATAACCTCCACCAGAAAGACACCCAGGTAGTATAGTATTGGCACGCCTGTTTCTTCGCTTGAGGGGTCATGGTTGGGTGCTGTTGTCGAGCCCTCCTTGTCGTGAAGCGACTTCTTTGCCAAGTAAATCTCATCGAAATCCACGTTCCCATGGCGCGAGATGAGGAACACGTCCTTTATCGTAAGCGTACCGGGCATCCATAGCGTGTTGTGCATGAATAATACACTAGAAGCTGCCGTGGCGGCAATGTGGTACTTTCGAGCGAGCGAGGGCCGATGCGTCAGGGAGAAAACGTCCCTTAGGTGGACCGTGATACACTCGTCGTTATCATAAGAAGATCTGAAGGGAAGCACTTCAAATCTCCGTCGATTTTGAGTCGTCTCATCAAGCAGGTACCCGTAAGGGTCCTGATATTTGACATCTGGCCGCTTGCCGCTTAATGTGCGACAAATGTCCTTGACTTGCACAAGTTGCCGAGTCTCTGGTGGAAGCGACGAAACGTGCCCAACGGGGTCGGTAATGGTTTGATGGGAAGCATCAAATCCTCGACCAGCCGTCAATCCACCCCTATCTAGTCGCGAAGGGTATCCCACTACGGGTGTAGTCGTATCAGCATCGAAAAATTTCACGTGCGCAAACCTAGGCTTCTTTATCACCACATCGGTAGCCGCAGGAAGCACGGGTGCTGTATGCACTATAGGAACTTCTGCTAATCGGAGGACAAGTTCATCCCACACCCAGCTGCTATGTGTTTTCCCTTTAGCATCCTGTGGATTATTGGCCAATACAAGATGGAAATTCAGTCGCTTAACTAGCGCCTCTTCATCCTGCACCCGTCCTGTAATTCTTGGCGTAGGGAGGCCGAAACCTACGCCGTGCGATTGAGCACAGGTACAAGACAGGCTAGATCTCAAGGCGTTATAGATACTTCTCGATACTGCTTGTAACAAGCTGAACAGCTTCTCTTGTGAACGAACCTTCCGATAGGGCTCATTTCGCAGGTTACCAGTCATCATCAGATCAAGTTTCTGATTGATATCAGCCAGTCTTTTCAAGGAGTCCTCGTGAGTGGAAAATTGTAAAGCGATCTTGATCATGTCCCGCTTACCAATCGCCCCGTCGTCGATTTTAATCTGTTTCAACTTCTTAGCACTAAAATCAGGAAAGTCATCCCACCTGTTTTGTCAGATGAGGCTTGAGATACTAGTACCGTCTACCCCATGCTCTCTACTATCTGAAGCTTTCGGATTCTAGAATGGGACTGACCTCAAAATCTGGTCCAAGACCTAGCTTGGACCTTATCTCTTCGACTGCCTCCTTCATAGATTGTACTAGCACCTTGAAATCCTTCAGCGTGTGGTCAAGCCTTCGCTCGACAAGGGCCTTAGTGTCGGGGTCCTGCCATAATGGCCCGAAAGGTTCCGCAAGCAGAGGCTTCATGTCTTTGGCGTCTATGATTCCCCCCAGCAAGGTCTCGCAGGTGTTCCTTAGTATGGTCTGCTCGGTGCTGAGGGCTGTGGCCAGCGAGTGCATCACCTTTGCGCGACGCCGCACTATCTGTATCGTTTTTATTCCACGCTCATAGTGCTCGAGAGCGGAGATGAGAAGGGGGATAGCACCGAGGACAATACCGACAACTTCAAAGCCTGACATTCTGACGGCTTCAACGTGCGACTCTTGCACAGCCGGTGCGAAACCCCTACCACAAAAGAGCTCTATACTCCGACGCTATGTATCAATAACGAGGTAGGAACAGATAAAAAGAAGGGTTCCTTGGAAAGCGGAGGGGTTCTGCGGCTGAAAACTCATTACGGCAAAGTAGACCGTAAGCGAGCTGAGCGGAGTCATGCACTGTAACCCTACCTACTACGCCGACGTAATCATGTAAGCCCATGAGGGGTGAGCCTGATTCCTTGTAGGCGACTTAACCGCGCTGCAAAGTCAGTTCGCATCGAAGCCTGCCAAACATCTCATTCAAACCCGCCAACATAGGCTATAGAAGAGTCCTTTCTTGATTCTCGAATAAGTTGATTCGCGCTTCGGATGTAGAAATGGCCTCCGAGCCGGCCACGGAGTCTATCGCAAACCGCGTTGCGAAGAGTTTGGCCGCATTTGAAGCAATTGATACAGTTGAGACCCAAGCAGAGCCTGGCGACTCTCAATTTGTCTGGGTGCGAACGATAGGCGACCAACTGTCCAAGTTCAAGCTATGGGCCGGCAATATAGGGGCGCATCGAACCGGACGGAGTTCTTTAGATTATCGTCTCCGAGACTCGTCTCACCTCCACACTCAGGTAATGAGGCTGCTTGGCGATTTAATTGCCTCGTTGAATGAAGGTCTGATACGAATCACTTCCGAGATGTAAACCAATCTCTGACGGGGTCCAGTGCATGCAATCCTATCCGGAGAAACACTCCCGTGGGATCAGGACTTGGGGGAAGCGGATGAACTTGACGAGGAGCTCAAGGATCTGCTCATGAACGAAGATTTCGAATTCAACTCGGAATTAGGCCAGTTGACGAAAGAAATTACCGACGTCGTTGGCAATTTGCTACGACTTTCGATATCGCTCCGCAATCCTGCGCCACACGACCGCTTCATGTCGACTGAATACGCAAAGGTCCACTACCTCGAAGCAAACGATAAAGCCCATGTGGAAGCCAAGTTCCCAAGTGCGAGTCAAACCTTGATCATAAGGTTGGGTCAAGCATTATCCCAGAGGCGACAGTATTTCAGATACCGGGAATCACATCATGAGAAATTGGCTCGCGGGTTGTTTGATTCCGGACGGTCTGAAGCCGGTGCGCAGAGCACAGTCGCATCATCTATTCCTATAGCAATGAGAGGCCCTGGAGCTACACCAGTATTTGGAGAACTCGACGAAGATGAACGTTCCGACACAGGTTTCTCTCAAACCTCTTTCGCTACCACTGCTCCAGAGTCTGACCGTCTAAGGATACCGCCTTTACCGAAAAGAGCCTACGATGGTCCGTTTGAGTGCCCATTCTGTTTCATGCTGATCTCAGTGAGTAGTACATATCAATGGAAGTAAGTGCGCTATGATAAATTCACTTGCTAGGTTGGACAGGTGCTTATAAAGACAGGAAACACGTTCTGCGCGACCTACGGCCATATATTTGTTTGGCCGAAGACTGTACAGCAGCTAGTAGAGAATACGGTCGCCGCCACGAGTGGATGGACCACATGTTCCAGAAGCATTGGAAAAGTTGGGCATGTCCATATCAGTGCGGATTGGATGGCACAACTGAAACAAACTTACGCCAGCATATTACCAGGATCCACGGATCCAAAACGGACATGGAGCTCGATGCGATGATTGCAAGATGCGGTCGAACTCGATCAATATCTCCATCCTCGCCTGTCGAGTGTCCCCTTTGCCAAGATGCCTTGGAGTCAGTTCAGCAATACCAGCGGCACGTGGGTCGCCATCAGGTCGATTTGGCCCTTTTTGCCCTTCCGAAAATTGAAGACGACGACGACGACGACGACGACGACGAGCCTGATGAAACAAATGAAGACCATGAAACCATATCTACACACAGCGGAAGCTATTCTGAAGCAATGAGTGGCGGCATCTCCCCCTGGGCATTAGGCTCACCGGCTGTATCTATTACCGGAATTCACGAAGTACCCGAAGCAATGAGTGGCGACAGCTCCCACTCGCCAATAGCCTCACCGCGCACACCTATTATCGGAATTCACGAAGTACCCGAAGCAATGAGTGGCGACAGCCCCTACTCGCCAATAGCCTCACCTCCTTCATCTATTATCGGAATTCACGAAGTACATGAAACAGAGATTGTCGACAATGAGGCAGAGGGGCAGGATAGTGAGCGGTCCGCCGATGAAAGCGATGATGTTGAGATTAGAGTTCGCGAAGCTGAAATTCGCCATAGTCGATATTTCGATAGTGAGTGATGATCTCTCGTTCGATGGTGACCGGTTTGGCTGTGGGCAGCAGAGGGGGCG